TCCTCCCCCGGCCAAGGGTGCGCGATGGCTACAGAGAAACGCCGGCGTTTTGCAAACAGGCTCTGGTTCTCTAGCCTCTGTGTGCCCCGGCAGGGTGGGGCAGGGGGCAGAGCCTTTGCGCACGCCCCCCACCCCCAGGCCCTGAGTAGCTTGCCTGAGGGCTCCTCCTGCTGCGATGCCCAGAGCGAAATCCTGGCTCTTTTAAAACAGCTGGTGATTCTCTCTAGGCATGCGGGGGTGGGGTAGATGCTTCATATGCTCCCCCATCCCCAGGCCAATCAGGGTTTGGGGGTGTGGGGGGAGTCATGAGAAGTCTCCTGGCCCCACCCCTTCTGTATCAGAAATTTTTGAAGTGGCCCCCTTTTAAAAATGATTGCCCACCCCTGTTAGAGAAGATCAGCCCAGAGAGCTCTTTTGGGTAAGATCCCAGGTGTAAATTCCCCTGGGGCTGGGCCTTGGGGACTAGGAGAACCTGTTTGGAGTTGGTGAGATGGGTTAGAACCTCTCCCTTGTGTGAGGGGGGCTGGGGGGCACAGGGAGCACTGGGGTGTCTGAGGGAAGGTGGGGGATGGGTTAGAACCTCTCCCTTGTGTGAGGGGGGCTGGGGGGCACAGGGAGCACTGGGGTGTCTGAGGGAAGGTGGGGGATGGGTTAGAACCTCTCCCTTGTGTGAGGGGGGCTGGGGGGCACAGGGAGCACTGGGGTGTCTGAGGGAAGGTGGGGGATGGGTTAGAACCTCTCCCTTGTGTGAGGGGGGCTGGGGGGCACAGGGAGCACTGGGGTGTCTGAGGGAAGGTGGGGGATGGGTTAGAACCTCTCCCTTGTGTGAGGGGGGCTGGGGGGCACAGGGAGCACTGGGGTGTCTGAGGGAAGGTGGGGGATGGGTTAGAACCTCTCCCTTGTGTGAGGGGGGCTGGGGGGCACAGGGAGCACTGGGGTGTCTGAGGGAAGGTGGGGGATGGGTTAGAACCTCTCCCTTGTGTGAGGGGGGCTGGGGGGCACAGGGAGCACTGGGGTGTCTGAGGGAAGGTGGGGGATGGGTTAGAACCTCTCCCTTGTGTGAGGGGGGCTGGGGGGCACAGGGAGCACTGGGGTGTCTGAGGGAAGGTGGGGGATGGGTTAGAACCTCTCCCTTGTGTGAGGGGGGCTGGGGGGCACAGGGAGCACTGGGGTGTCTGAGGGAAGGTGGGGGATGGGTTAGAACCTCTCCCTTGTGTGAGGGGGGCTGGGGGGCACAGGGAGCACTGGGGTGTCTGAGGGAAGGTGGGGGATGGGTTAGAACCTCTCCCTTGTGTGAGGGGGGCTGGGGGGCACAGGGAGCACTGGGGTGTCTGAGGGAAGGTGGGGGATGGGTTAGAACCTCTCCCTTGTGTGAGGGGGGCTGGGGGGCACAGGGAGCACTGGGGTGTCTGAGGGAAGGTGGGGGATGGGTTAGAACCTCTCCCTTGTGTGAGGGGGGCTGGGGGGCACAGGGAGCACTGGGGTGTCTGAGGGAAGGTGGGGGATGGGTTAGAACCTCTCCCTTGTGTGAGGGGGGCTGGGGGGCACAGGGAGCACTGGGGTGTCTGAGGGAAGGTGGGGGATGGGTTAGAACCTCTCCCTTGTGTGAGGGGGGCTGGGGGGCACAGGGAGCACTGGGGTGTCTGAGGGAAGGTGGGGGATGGGTTAGAACCTCTCCCTTGTGTGAGGGGGGCTGGGGGGCACAGGGAGCACTGGGGTGTCTGAGGGAAGGTGGGGGATGGGTTAGAACCTCTCCCTTGTGTGAGGGGGGCTGGGGGGCACAGGGAGCACTGGGGTGTCTGAGGGAAGGTGGGGGATGGGTTAGAACCTCTCCCTTGTGTGAGGGGGGCTGGGGGGCACAGGGAGCACTGGGGTGTCTGAGGGAAGGTGGGGGATGGGTTAGAACCTCTCCCTTGTGTGAGGGGGGCTGGGGGGCACAGGGAGCACTGGGGTGTCTGAGGGAAGGTGGGGGATGGGTTAGAACCTCTCCCTTGTGTGAGGGGGGCTGGGGGGCACAGGGAGCGCTGGGGTGTCGAGTGCTAGCCGGGGGGCAGCTGATGTGCTCTGTGGGGCTGGGCTGGTTTGACTTTTAGTGGGAGACCCCCAGTCTGGGGCGGTAAGTCGCCCTGGTTCTGAGCAATTCACCTGATGTGACCCTCTCCGCTGTGTCCCTAGAGCCCCCTTTATTGCACTGCCCCTGGCCGGGCCTGAGCCAGGCTGTGGGAAGAGCTGCCCCACGAGGCTGCGCTGCTGTGGGGAGCCCCGCGCTCGCCGGGGGCCGGCTGAGGTAAACCCCAGAGAGTCAGAAGAGGCACGTTTGTCACATGCTATTGGGGGGGGGGCGCTG